TGCATGAAGCATCGATGTAACATCTGAGCTGGACACAGAGCGCAGGAGGGATGTAAGAAGGAGTAGCAATTTGTTTTCTTTTCCACGGGATAATGCATGTCCCTGTTCTTTGTGTACTTCCAGATGAGACAACCCCGCAGATAGCAAGGCCGGTATTTGACTGGTGGGTGTTAATAATCTCCCACTTGGGTGGTAGGGGGTGGGTCAGTGCACACAACTGACTGTGTGCCCATCCCACAGCTGAAAAGACTGAAACAAATAAGACTGAGTGGTGAAACTCAGCCACACCTGTTTCCCATAACCTTTGTGATCCTCTCCAGAGGGACTTAATCGCTGACTGTGCACATCCTGCATGTATACCTCTTTAATATGGACTGTGAAGCCGGTGTGTCCAAATGACCCTAACCTCAATCAAAATGTCTGATCTATTCTTGTAGGGGAAAATCCTGAAAAACAGCAGGCAAAAACAGTTTAGAAGGTTCCCTCTGTCCATTCACAGTAGGTAATTAACCATGGAAATATCTGGAAGGCATTTATATAGAGTTGTTTCCTATGACTCAGTCACTGAAACAGTGAGTTCCTGTCTTTCCTAGATTTATTCGGTAGACAAGACACGCTAGCATAAAACATAGTGAAAAATAGCTCTGCCAATATTAGCAATCCTAAGTATTTTCCCTTTTGCTCCCCATTTTAAGTGGCTAATTACTCACGAACTTCATCTGTAATGACTGCTTATTCCCGGCCATCGACATAAGAAATCCACACAAAACACTGTATACCATCATAAGTGCTGTGATTACCTTATCCAACCAGATGAGGTTAAAGATTAAGGCTGGTACACTTCTATATTTATGCCCTTATTACAGAAACTCCTGCCCAGCTTCCCTTACCTGTGTGCACCACATGGCTTTTTCATTCTTTCCAGTGATGTCAATCTTTAAAAGCCATAACAAATAGATGGTCTCACTCAAAAAGCAAATTTGGTTTGTAAAAGCTGTACAGAACACAGGACACAGCATCCTGCATCCAGCTCTGGCTGAACTAAAGCTGCAGAGCAATTGAGTGAGCGAGCTGTAAGGTTAATGCACCATGCAGGTAGAACTACTGCAAAACCCTTCATAGAGGTGTCTGTTGCTAAATATTATGTTATAATATTGTAATCATCGCCATCCTTTTTCAAATTGATTCATGCCTGAATACAGTACAATAAAAAAACCTCAGATGGTCACAGATGACTTTTTTTACTTAAATACCTGAGGCTTAATATTTGAAAAACTAGCCCAAAATCTGGAAATAATGTTATTTACAAGAGAAAATCAAGTATTGACATACAATTATAAATTCAATGGTTCCCTTAGTGGTGTCTCTCAAAACCCAGTTGTCTACTGATACTTTCTTCATAGTTTCCTCATTTTAATGCTTAGTAAACAAATGTTTTGGAGAAAATAAATGACATGAAAAGAAATTCTGTTTCATCTAGATCAACAAGACAAATTGTTTGTTTATTAGTTTACAGAAATTGGTGAATTTGGCCATTTCCTCAGCCAATGCTGCATTGTCAAAAGAGACTGGAAACAATGAAACACAATAGCACTGAAAGGTGGAGCTTTATGGCAAGTTCTGTCTAACAAAAGAGGGAGGGGTGGCTAAGACGCCCAAACCGAGCAGCCCTCAGTTTGTAGCGCTGAGGCTCACGCCTGGGCAGAAGTTACCGGTCCATCTTACTTTGTGGAGAGAGGCACAGGTGTATCTTGGCAAAAAGGGATGTGCAGATAGAAAACAACTACATTTCTGTCAGACAAAATGATTTGGACCGAGTGGGAGTTTCTGCATCTGTCGCTTGTGTGAATGAATCGACTCACTTCTCCCATCTGCTCAGTTTCTTTTTGCAATAAAAAATCCCATCGCATTGCTTATCAGGCAAAAGCAAGATGTCACTCTCAAGCAACTCTATGTATCGTCAATGTGTTATCGATAAAGTTTGAAAGATCTTTGGATACCCAAGAGAACAAAGTACAGAATAGATAACAGACAAAACTTCTATTTTAGATTAAAACTAAAAAGCACACCCTTCCAGGGATGTGACCGTTGCAAATACAATACTTCAGTGTTCTCCCATAAAAAAAATCTTAACAGAAGCATTCGTAAAGTTCATTGGAGTAAATGCGCCATCTTCAGAGCCCTTAATTTTACAAGTTCGGGGATGAGCTAAACTGAGGGTTTATAGCTCTGAATTCATTAACAGCCCTCTTGGGAGTTACTTGCTATTCACGGGATCCAACAGGCGGTCACATCTGTCATGGAAAAAGGAAGCAAAGGGTGGAGTCAACAGAAGCTGGTCACCACAGCCTGCTCCCTGAACCCCAGACAAACCTCCATCCCTCACAACAAAGCCCCACGCTCATCCTGATGGCTTTCCTTCAGAAAAGAAACACCGCCTGCATTTAATGTGATTAGGAGCTTTAAATCAGCTGCTGCACGACTGAGTTTTAAGATCAAATTAGGAAGATAAGATGGATGACACAGCCGTGTCCCACAGATGTCCAAACGCTCAAACTTGTACCTATCGTAGAAAATGAACAGACATTAAACTTTTAGCTTTAAGAAGCATATTTAAAATCCACACATTGCAGCTGGGTTTGCTGGGTTTCTTGATAACTTTTAAACTATTCAAATTTTATAAATTGAGACAAAAGTTGAATTTTGTTATGACAAAAGGACTGTCCACATTACCAAGTGCCCTGTAAAGCCAGACGGGTTAGCATCTGACTAAATTTATATTAAGTTATCCAACCATCGCCCTGAACAAAAAGGTCTTGACCTCATCCACCCTATGCCATGTGGTAACAACGCTAATAACTTTTGCAAGGATCAAATCTGCTTAGCGCATTACTTTTTCTCAAATCTATTTCTGTTTTAAGTCTGTAATTTAGGTGGCTCCATTACTACATTATTTATTTATATTGTGAATCATGCGGCCCCTAGAGAAGAAACCACAAAACTTTGGTCTTCAATTACAGACCTCACAGTCTGTGGCCACGCCTTAAATGAATCCCCTCCTCACAACCTTGTCTACAGAGAGGGGAATCTGAAAATGACACAGCTAAGAAACCAAACATCATCTGGTGGGGATAAAGGCCTCCTAAGTCCTATGCAGCACGAGCACTAAGTTAATAAAAGTAAAACATCCATACACATTTCCCTTCCAACCAACTGGCCTTTGTGTGCTAATGTGCCCTCTGTGTTGATAATAAGCAAATTGGCTGTCTAGGTGACTAATTGGACCCAAAATCTACACACATGGTGCCGAGTAGCACGTTTGGCATCTAATAAGCTTAGATTGCAACAATGTGTTGTTTATCGGTTCTCTGTGTTGATTTATGAACCAAAGCTTTGTGGGTACAGACAGAAAAAGTATGGCATGAGGACTCTGCAAAAACATGTGTTGAAAGTCTGTGTGAGTGTAAGCAAGAGGGATGAGAGGAGTGCAGAAGTAGAAACACCATGAGTCACTATATGGGCAGATATTGCAAAACCAAAAACTTTGGGTAAGGTTTCTCAGACGATATTTTTTTTTGCTTCATATTAGCGTTATTAGATGTAGAATTGTTTTATCTTAAACTCTGGGAAACTGGATCTTTTTTTTTGTTATCTTTTGGTATCTTTTGGATACTATCTTTTGGTCCTATGGACCAAGTGATATAGAGGGTCCTTTCAGAGCAGATTGGTTAATGATAAAAGTAGCTGTTGCCACAGGAGTATCCAAAAATACTTTTTGGTGTATTACAGCAATACTGTTATGACGGAGCAATATCACATATAAGTGACTGATGATGAAAAGGGGTATCTTTTTTAAGATCCCCTGGACAAATGTGCATGTCTGAGAAGCTTCAGCTGCCTGAGGACTGATGGAAAAAAACTATTGGTGCATTCCTGGGTAGTATTTACTTTAGCAGCCGTCTGTGTTTGTCCCCTCTTGTGGCCCTGTCATGTACTGTAATCCCAGCTCAAGGCTTGGACCCGGCAGAGCTGTCCAGCTGCTGTCCCCCCGGCACAGACAGACAGACAGACAGGGACTCTGGAAGGTGCACCGGCTGGCACGCAGCCCAACTGCAGGTCAATACCTCCGGAGACTCTGCGACTGCAGTGGCCGCTCTGAAATGTGTCTTCATTTCCTCTGCCACCCCTCACGCCTAAAGCGGAGGAGCCTGTATCGCGTAACGTTGATTCCAACCCCCCCATCTGCAAACCGAGTCCTTGGCAAACTTTTGACTGAGGAGCTCCTCATTGCTCACCGTAACTGTCACCAGGATTGCTCCAATGCGTTTCTATTTTAGTGCCCTGGCTGGGTCGTGGCTATCCGAAAGAAGGACTGAGCCCCGCCGGTGTTCCCCCTCACTCTGCCCGGGTTGATGTTAGCCGGGGCGTGATGGGGACACACAACCAGCGCCGTCTGCTACAAAGTGTGCGCGTAATCACTGCCAAATCAGCAACGCGCCTGAAGTTGTAGCTTTGGTTCATTAGGGTCCTAAATCTACTAAGAGTTAGCTGCTATGTTGGGACCACTCGCATCACCGGGCAATAAGTCAACATAAACTATTGTGAGGGGGAGTTGCGTTCAAGGGAGACTCGCGTTTTAGCTAACGGTCAACTGACGCCAGCCGCGACTTTTTCCCTTCCTTCGTCGCGTTGCAGTTGATAGTTTAGTGTCCTCAAACAAGAGCTACCGTCCTAATATTTCACTTAAAGGCAGCTGGGTTTGAGCAGGGCCTCCTCGGGACATAACGGTCTGAGCAGTCCCGGCTCTGTCGATGACTAACGACCGAAGACGCCGCGACAACTTCTGTTAACTTACAGAGCAGAATGAGAAGGAGACCGTTAGCTTACCGGTGAGCCCCTGAATGAGAAAAACGGAAGTCAAAAGTTGCAGTCCGGTATTGGTTAAAGTCCTCCTGCGCGGTGCCCTTTTCTCCATGATTCCTGTGTGTGCGCCTCGGCACTTTCGGATCCGTCCTCCTCGGTCGCCCCTAGTCCTTCTGGCTGCCTCGCGCTCCTGGAGAGCTGCTCTCCATGGCGACCGGGCCGCGTGGGCTGTACCACTTCAGCATGACAACAAACGTAGCCGCGGTCCTGCGCGCGCGCACGCACGCACGCACCCCAAACCATCAACGTGGGACTCAGTTACTCCAATAACTTGGTATACAGTGTCAATGTTTACTATTCAGACTCAGGTTAATAGAGATATGAGCAAGATTAAAAGCAGAACTTTAATAGCGAAACAAGGGCAAAAAGGTCTAATTGGCTGCATCTTATTTTAATCTTGATATGCAATAAAGTTGCCATATTATTTACGTTTCATGCATCTTGTAAAACTCCCTGTTAAAGCCTTTTATTTCTGTGGATGTATTAATCCTCCCTGCCTTTTGGCCAATGTAATGCCAGACTGGCTCCATGCAGGTGAGCTCTGTGTGGGATATCTGACCATCTGATGCTGGACTCCTTGTTCTTGGCTATACCACACGGGATATTTCTTTGTAGGCCACATAATGAATACACTGTAGGACTGATCAGATGTCCTATTGATAATGTAACAATCCTTGGTTCTGTGCATAACCAGGTAGCACATACACATGTTAAATAGTGGAAGAAATAGGGCCATTTAAATCAAATGAAATGCAGTGCCAGCTATAATCATTACAATAGGATTAAGGAAAATACTGGGTTTTGTGCGTATGGTCTTATTCCATCACTAAAACAATGAAATACAGGTGACATTGTGCCTGCATCAGTGGGGAATCCCCTCTTCCAAAGGCACACTTGTGAAACCAGGCATTATAGCAAGACAAAACTGCCATAAAACCATTATTCAAACCATCATTTAGTTTTTAAGCATGATTATGGCCCTCGCAGACTAAACTGAACAAAAAAAGGTGAACGTGTTGCTTCAGAAGCGACCAAACCTTGGCAGGTCCCATCGGCGCTGGGAGGATCGGAGCAGAAACCTACTGATTACACTCCAGTCTCTCTACCGGCCGAGCCCAGCCTATTTATAGATCACATTTTCATTTGCATGTTTTGAATTGTAAGCTGATATGAATGTTGCTTCCTCTTTACACATTTCCAAGGACTGTTATGGGAGATTCAATCACTTAAACTTTTTATCTCATAACTCAGAATATATCTCATATTGTTTTCTAAACAAGAGCAAAAGGATTGTTTTTGTAGATTTATGAATAATTAAGCAGAATTAGTACATTTTGCGATGTCAGTAGTCGGTCAAAGTGTCTGGTTGAGGCACCTATGTTGTAGATAATGTGTAACCAGTGTTGAATTCTGAAACTGTGGGGACAACAAGGAAGCCAGTGTGAAAGTTAATATAAACCCCGGGAGATCATCTGGTGAAGGACAAAGCAATCACATGCCGGTGAAGGGCTGAAAACGTGTGCTTTCAACAGCCTCAGCGCAGACACACTGTGAGCACTCCATCCTAGAACAAAGTGGTAATGAAGCTTGCATTGTTCCTTTCTTCAAGATAATTACAGCTTTTACTCATTCAGGAATCCCACACTGCGTGCAGCAGTGTTATTATCGCGCACTGCAGCTTGAACTGATAAACACGCACTCAGCATTTTTTGGCGGACATCATATTACTTCCCCAAAGATAAGAAACAGTGTTCATCTGTGCGAGGTGTCCCTCACTATGGGGCATCCGTTTCTTTCCCAGCTGACGTTCTCGTAATCTGTCTTTGCCTCAACTCCTCATCAGGAGACCTGGATTCTGGAAAGAGGCTTCCTTTTTCCGGCGCAACTTTATTGTGATTAAAGTATGACCCATGATGTGTCACCACAGCATAGCCCCTGCTTTCATATCCTCTGGTGAGTTATTTATATCCTCAAAGAGCCATAAATCCCCAGGTGAGAGTGCTGCCCTTTTAACCAATCAATCACCTCTCCTGGGGCCCTTTACATTAGAATGGCAATGTTGTAATAAGGAGGCTAGTGTCTTTCATATCTCATTTGTGGAAAAATCAAGCATTTAACGTGCTGAAATCACCACCGGTTTGGTTGAAAGTGTTCCAGTAAGCCTCTTCTCACCCCGCTGGCATAAAGACATAATGCAGTGTAAATGCGCTAAGTAGTTTGGAAGCATTTCTGGTGCGGAAAGGCTGCTCCATGGCGAGGCCGCCCTGGCACCGTCCACACACGCTGTCTGGGAGATTTGGTTTTACAGTCTGTGAAAACAGCCTTTGTTAAACATAACATTCCTCACTAGTCACATTGGTGAGCCGGTCGTTGCACACCTCAGACCCCCCCCTACCCCCCTACCCCCCCACCCTTACAGTCCCAGTCCCATCCCCTGCCAGAGCGCAGCTATCTACAGCCGGGAGAGGTCACCTCAGTGCTGACGTTACACACTCCTGTTTGCAGCTCCGTGTGCGTCTTCACCGTAATGAGCTCCCTCTGAAACGGCCCTCTGCAGTACACACTGACCTTTAGAAGGCAGATGTGAAGTCAATTAAGACAGCGTACCTGATATGGAGCATGCTGACATTTATAAAACCATAAAGCTAGATAAATGGATAGCAATACACCTGCAGTTTATGTTTCGTTTTTTTGTTTTTAAGCCTAAACTAGTTAGTGGGATATGCATTGTTGTGGGAAGTTACAACACATCTACTTCAATCTAGATATTTGCACTAGAGAGAGCAATATAGATTATTGATCTAATAATCTGTGGCTTCCACTTCCACCTTTCATGAGGCAATACAGTTCTCGAATAGTAAATATGATCAGCAGCTGCTTTTTATTGAATAAGCATAGAGAGATGCTCTATGGTACTGCAATGGACCCAACTCAGTGGAAATGTTGCAGTTATGGCTTTAGATTGCCATCTGCTGGAGTAAAATTGAAATAGAAACGAAAGAGAAGGGAGGGAAAATTGTTTCTTCCAAACCCTGGAATTTTTTTTTTTTTAGTGGAAGCATAAATTTATAAATCACATGTTTATTTGGGGAAAATATGTCCCAAATAAAATCTCGGTCCAAACTCTCCACATGCGTGAAGTCACTCTGCAATAAACCTCATTTTCAAGGTCGACCAGCTGCCCACATCTCAGACGCTTGCTGGGAATAAATGTTCCAATAATGAAGTGTTTCCCATTAAAAGCCTATCATAAAAATATATAACAACTCATCTAGCGCTTAATGTTTCCCAGAGGCGGCCCGGCTCGTTTCCTGTCCGGTGTCAGTGTGGAAAGACGCGATGCTGCAGATGAAGTGAAGACAGGATGGGAGCTGAGACACTGCCTAAAAGCTCCACAAGGGAGCGTCAGGACACGGCTAATTTGCAATGAGGGGATAGTTGCTGAGTGAAGAAGAGAGGTGGAAGCACAAAGAAGAGGAAGAATGTTTTACAGAGGGCGTGTCATAATAACAGAGTGACAGAGTGTTTCAAATTCATCCTTCAAGAAAAAGTCAAATTTCATCATTTTAAAATTGCAGCTTACTACCCTCAAACAGTCTTATCAAAGGATGCACTGCTCTGCGTCCACCATGCTGGAGGCACAAATCTTGGCCTCATACATCTTTGTTTGCTTATTGTATGGAAACTGGGAAGGATGACAAAATGCATTAATAAAGCAAAAAAGCTCACATAAACAGTCTTACTCAACAAATTGTGGTTGGTTGTTTGTGAGGTGGCTCCAGGCCAACACATAAAAGAGAATCCTTAGAAAGATGACCAAAAAGGATATTTTTGCTCAAATTGTTGGTAGATATACATCACATATCAAATCTGTTCACAATAACAATAAATTAAAGCACTACTTTAATACTTTCATTCTAAAGCAACAAAGTGAGGTGAATACACTGATTTCCATGCATCGTTAGTTCAACTTCAATATGGTCTTGTTGTTCAAATAAATACTGTAACACAAATATGGCAACAAAACAAGGGTGTTTTTATTGAGATGAATTTTGACAGACGAATACATAAATTTGATGGTGAAGTAAAAAGAGCAACATGGTGGGGCATCAATGCAACCTGATACCAGGTAAATTACCTTAAACAGCATAATATGTATGGAAAGGTTTGAACATTAATCTTCTTTTGTAATTATTTATCCGGACTGTGGTGTATGTGTGTGAATGATCATAAATGAGTGGGGGAAAAAAACATTTGAAAAAAAAAAACAGAGGATGCTGTTTGGATTGTACAAATGACTGTTATCTGATACCTGTGAGAACGGGTTTCAGTCTTCTCTCAGATAAGCCTCAGGCACCTCCTCCTCATCATCACTACTGGCAGCATGTTGTGCCATTCTTTCAACCTCCATCACTTTCGCCTCGGCCAACTTCTTGTCTGCATCCAGTGAGAGTTTCTGGGCCTCCTCCACCTGCGACTGGGCCAGGTGAATGTTTGTTCTGGCTGTGACTGACGCATGCTCGGCTCCTGAAAATACACACACGTTAAAACACGGCGTTTTAAAGACGGCCCTCTCTAAATCAGTCATCAGATGCGGCCATTAGGCAGGTAAGCTCATCCATCTCCACTTTGCCGAACTCAAAGACCCACATGATATCCGTCCGCTGTGTGGAGTCACACTTTGGCAGATGAAACCGACCCCGCAGAAACAGCAAACAGTTTGAGTCCACGCCTTTGTCGTTGCAAAATGGCCTGAGAAGAACCTGCCTCAACACAGCTACTGTGAAACCCCGACAACCTCGCCATCTGTCACACACCCGATATGTACGCTGCCTCTGCGGCCGTCTCGCACAGCCTCACCGCGCTGACCCAGGTCAACTCGAAGCGCTTGCATTCATCTTGCTGGTCCTGAACCTGTCAGGTGTTAGAAAAACCCAGGTTAGACTCAACCGTATCTACGACTGCCCGTTTTAGTCTCTTTGACAATCATATTCATGAATAATTCTAAGGACTTCAGCACAGGGACTGACCTTAGCACGTTGGCTAATGATGACCTGCCAGATTGTGTCCTCCTGTGCCGGAGTGAGTTTCCCCAGAGAGGCCAGATATTGCTTTTGCAGGGCAACGAGCGTGTGCACAGCCTGCAGAGAGAGGGCACACACAGACTGCATTTACAGGAAACAACCTGTCATCTCAGTTTCTGTTTGTTAAATGCTTAATGAAGTGTGATGCAGAAAATACATTATTGTGACAAAACTTTAAACCAAATAGTTTAAAGCAACATGATAACTATTCATTGGAAGCCCGAACTAAACATGCAGTACATGAGCTGAGATGCTCACAAGGGCTAAGTGAAGAATAAAGCACACTTTGAATCTTAGACTGTGAAATATTAAGTTAAATACTAACATAAAATGGAATCAAATGTTTGTTTTTTCCTTAGAACTTAAAATACAAACACATTGTTGTGTAATCAAAAGTTATCTCTGATATAAGCAGGACATCAAAGGAGGCATTAGCGTTTTAATGTCCAGCACATATGGCAATTAATAAGTTGAATAATGGATTATCATGCCCAGAAATTTACTGTTTTTCTGTTTATTCCAGATGCAAATCGATGTATGTGTTCTTCTAAGCGGATATTTGCGCCCAAAAGCTAATTTGGCCCTTGTGCAATGGACCCCTAAATGCTGGTCTTACTGTTCTATGCAAAAATTATTGTCATAACATTAAAAGCTAATGTCAAGCTAGGAAAACAGACCTATACAAAAATAAAATAAAATAAAAATTAATCTTGTAATACAGAAATAAAGAAAGTAAGAAAAAAAATGATAAAATACTAAACATAACAGTCCCTTTATTATGACTCTTAATCATTCATTTATCTATTAAATAATTAAGAAAAATGGGTGAAAAAACATCTGATCTAAAAAGAGCTCCAAACATCATTTAAATATCTCTCAAACTTTATGTGTAGTACTTCTCCATCACAGTTGTACCTTTGAGTACTCTATTAAGGCATCTATGAGAGCCAAAGTGGTCTGAGAGAGAAAAGTGCTTGAACTGTCTGTGACCAGAGAAGCTGCCCGTCTGATGAGGGAGTCGTGAGAGAGGTCTTCCACCTGCAGTAGAGATAAAGACAGCATGTTAACGGCGACTTTACACCTGCTTTAATCTTTAAATGAGGCTCTCTGGCTAAGAAACCCTGACCTGTTTAAATGGTACAGCACAGAGGCCACCGCCGACGGCAAAAGACGTCACACCTCTCAAAACAATATCTGACCATTTGCTCGGTTTGCGGACCGCAGCATTTCTGCTCAGCAGGACCCGAGCAGAGCTCCTGGATGTAACAGATAAACAATTTCAGATATTATTAGCCAGGCAAACCGAAAATACTTTGCCATAACACCCAGAAACAAATTAGAGGAAAAATAACTAAAACAATAAAGGCTAATTTATTTAACCATTTGTGCAGGAATAGAACCGTGTGCTCCTGGACCACGCCCACTAATAATATGATTACAAGAAACGGTGTTTTGTAATTACTTCTGTGTTTCAAATTCAATTTTTAAAATGCCGCAAATTTATACGTTTGGTTATTTCTATATTATATAAAACTTTAAAATAAAGGTACAGCGTATAGATAAAATAATAAGACTGCACCAATTCCGTCTTATATAGCTATTATTTACGTCTTACCTAACGAAACTAAGACACTTCGCTCCCCTGTAGAGCGCGGCCATCTTGGTCCGCCACAATATAATGTTCCTCTACTAAACAAAGGTTCCTACTCTTCATGGTGCATTTTTAAAACGGCATCGAATCTACGTATATAACTCCTAAACGATCAAATCGAATGAACTTGGGACCGCCGGCAATAGAAATCCCTTGAAATATTAAAATCTTGAAAAAGTGTGAGGATATCTGCTTCCAAAGACAGTCCTTGTATTTCACCGCAATCCACTAAAATCTACTGGCCTGATGGGATAACTTGCACGCTTCTGCCCTCCTGCGGCGAAATGACTTCGTGCTCAGCTTGCTTTGTAAATCATAGCACAACTTTAAGTACAATGTATCCTTTTAATTTTATCTATTAGTACTATGTGTAGTTTTGCATTGAACTTGTGTACTGTGGCTGATGAAATTAGTAAAGTACTGAATTATTTATTTTCCTTTTAAGAATATTCAGACATAGATGAAAGAGTACAGTGCAAATGCAGTGCTTTCAGATGTCCTTTGTGATTTTTCTGTTATCACAGACAGTAGAGACAAGAGGAAAAGGAAATGATTGTGTATTATATGTGTAATTAAGTCAGCGTGGTTTAATACTGCACCTTCCCTTTACCAAACAGAAACTGTTTAATTCAAAATCTATTTTTCGGAAAAATGAAAAGTTCATACATTTTTTCACCGGCCTAATTTCTTTTGAAGTAATGTTTTCTGTTAACATTTTACTTTTACATTTGTAGTTGTTACTTTTAACACTGTAGATGGAACTTTCAGTTAAATTAAGGATTAAAAGAAAGCCTTACATACTGTTACAACATACATGCTTACAGAGGGAGCTGTATTTTACACAGCTATCAGTTTCTTTTGCTCATCTTCTTTTAATGGTGGAAAAAACTTTATTTTGAGTAATAAAACACTCTTAACACAAATACCAAACCAAACCAGTATTTTACGCGAACAAACTGTGACACAAACACCATTAAAGATGAGTTAGGCAAATCTTTTCATTATTTCTACAGTTTGTTTGTTCTTCTATTGCCTTAAACCATAAAAGCACAAATCTCTTGTTTAAAAGTTGTGCAGGTAGAGTTGAAGTAGAAGTTCGTTATTAATCCCTGCGTGCATGTTGTTCATCTGTAAGACAAATATTCACAGAGAGCCAGTCAACAGTCTTTGAATAATTGATGATGCCATTAACAGTAGCTTGTAATTAGTTTCAGAGGAGTTTAGTGATTCACACAGGAATACAGGCAACAGGCTAATCATCACACCAAAACAGTAAACAACATGATGCAAAACAAGCCAATACTGCCGACAATGAGGAAACATGACCTTTGACATCCCAAAGAGAAGATGCAGAAGTTGCCGACTTTACATGCCCCATATGTAAAAGTTAGGAACAATAAAATATGACAATATGAGATTGTTTTATTCAACTCCATCTGTTTAAATAAATGAATACACTTTATTTAAATGAAGAACATCCAGTATGAAAGTTCAGCATGACTCAAGTTTCACACAAATTTAAAACAAGAGCCATGACAGCCTCAAAAAAATGCATAGTCTGAAAAGAACTGAGGATTAATCAAGTTTGTAACATTCGAAGAGATAACAGTAGTAGACGAGAGGTTTGTTGACTTTCTCGCATTTTCTAAACTTCTGGGCTAAAATGACTTTAACATCATAAAATTAATTATAGAACATAACAACTCATGTTACAGTGCTTGTTGAGAAATGACTGTGAATTCATTGAGCTGTCACCTGCATAAATGTGTGAGCTTTGCTTTTATTCTGAACTCTGAAAACGTGGCCCAACTGTACAATGGCAGACGTTTTTTCTCCACAATATTTCTATTTGTTTGAAGCCATCGTAGTCACACATTTAATTTTGTCAGCTTTATCATTCTTTGAATATTCCTACTGTCGTTGCCTCTTTCTCAGAAAGATATTTCCGTTTTGCCTTTTACTGTTTAAAGGCATTATTCAGAGAAGGGTTCACTATTTACTGACTATCTTTTTGTGAATATTCTGTTTTGCTCTTGCAGGCCTTTTACCCTGTGAACAGTTCTGTTCCTCCCTTTCTAAAGTGACCAGGAATGTGAGCGTAAACGCTGATGTGTTTGTGTTTCTGTGTCTGCTGTGTGATGAACTGTTGACCCGTCTTGGTTGGGACTTGTATTCAATAAAGAAACATCACAAGTTACGTGTTTAATTAGATGACACTGGGATGACCCAGATGTGGGCACCGATGATGACGTTGTTTTATTCCATTACCTTTGTATATTTAAGGTTGGACGGAACTCATCTGAGAGCATTTGTTTTCAACATGGAGCTCCATCAGAGTCAGGGGGGTTTGGTACCAGAAATGCTTGTGTGTCTTTTTACTGTGTGTTTGTTTGCTTATCTTATTTCACATGGGTTTTTGCTCTGATTCAAAACCAATTCTATTTATTTCAGCTGCTGAAAGGTTTTCAGAAAATGAAGTGACGCTTTTTGGAGAAAACAATATTTGATTAAAAAGCCAGATTAAGTGTCGTTTTGTGCGAGGCCTTTTCTGTATTTTGTTTTAAGATTCCCGTCATGACCAATAGAACAGGGACTGCCTTTTTAAGACAGCTCAATGATAAGGTCATTTTTGTTCAGGTTTTCGGGATACTTCTGCTCTGCATCAACTTCATGCTGATAACAACCTTCTTCAAGAGGGAAATCTTCTACAGAATCATGCGCTACATCTTATTTGCCAACACTTTATTTTCAGACTGCATCTTGTTGGTGATCACAAACATGTTATTGGTCCTTAACTTTTTTGACATCAGCATACAAACGGGGATATGTTTTATTGTGTTCACGCTCTCGTCTCTGTGTAACTTTGTCACACCTATCACGCTGACGGCCATGAGCCTGGAGCGCTACGTGGCCATCTGCATGCCGCTGCGCCACGCTGAGCTGTGCTCCACCGGCAGGGCCCTGCAGAGCCTCCTCATCATTTACTGCGTCAGCTTTATCCCCAGCCTCGTCATTCTGCTGGTCTTCTTTTTCTCTGCGTCTTTGAGCTTTTTCAAACGAAGCCTGCTCTGCTCCGCCGAGACATTCATCGTCGGCCGATGGCACGGCTATATCAGATCTGCTGTGAGTCAGTCCTACTTTCTGCTCATGTGCATCGCTATCGCCTTCTCCTATGTTCAGATCATGAAGGTGGCTACAGCCGCATCAGGAGAGAGTAAAAAGTCAACGCAGAAAGGGCTCAAAACTGTGGCGCTTCATGCTTTCCAGCTGCTGCTCTGTCTCATCCAGCTTGTGTGCCCTTTCATAGAAGCCGCTGTGCTTCAGGTCGATTTTAGTCTATTTATAAATGTCAGGTATGTCAACTACATACTGTTTAGTCTTGCACCAAGATGTCTGAGTCCTCTAATTTATGGTCTCAGGGATGAAACCTTTTTTCTTGCTCTTAAATACTACATTTTCTGGTGCCCGTTGAAAAACAACTTAAAGCCACAACTGTGATTACTTGGTAAATGTGAATATAAATGCATGTCATGAATAGATTTTTTTGAAAGGAAGTAATTCATATCATCTTTGGTTTAGCACCATGTGTTCACACACCGGCTTAATTCTTATGCTGCACATAAGCAACTACTTTTCTGTCCCGCATGTTTTGCTTATGCCGAGTTTATTAAAGATTTACTGACCTGAAATGTTGATCTAAATAAGGTGTGTTTGTGCACAGAAACAAAAAACACATATTGTATAATGACCGGTCAACCTGTTGTAAGGAATGCTCTCAGGGTTCCTCTGTTACTACTTCTATGGTCGGGGTACTTTCTGTTTTTGTTGTTTTTTTGTCTAATGAAAAATTACATTTACTCTTCTCCTCCCTTTTTTATTGCTGCCGATCTATTAATGGCAACAATTTAATAAAGAAAACAAACGATAACTTAAAAATTTGATCAGCCGTGTGTTGATTTTTATATCAGGATATGATCTGGGTTTGTTAGTATTTTGATGTCATACTTGCCAATACAATTCCTATATTGTAAAGTAGTGCCTTATATCACTTTTCTCTCCGGCCTGATGGTAAATGGACTGTTTTCTGCTCTAAATCACATTCACCCATGACTGTTACACATTTATAGCACATCTTACATTACCATACCGTGTTACAGACTAGACAATACTTTATTTCTGTATCACACATGTTCACACATCAACAGATGCACCTGAAACAATTCCAGAAACTCTGATGTTCTCAGGCTAAGGATCCCTCAGCGTGTGGTTCAGGGACCCCTGGACCTTTGAACCGCTGACCGGCAGAGAGCAGCTCTTCATCCTGAGCTACAGCCGCCCATAACGGCAGTAGGGGCTGACTGCAGCCCCCACAGGACTCAGAATTAAGACACATTCTTTAAAAAAAGATATATCATCACTACCATCACTGAGGGCATCGTTTGATGGTTGCCTTGGCAACATTCAAATGTGGAATGTTTTTAAAAAGCATTTTCACATTCCGGTTGAATTCAGAAAATAACATTTTCTGTAGAGTAGAAGTAAAATTGTGATGAGTTGTGAGGGTTCTTAAAATGATTGTGTCTGTATGCTTAAGCAATGCTGCAACAACCTACACACACTCTGGGACAGAGGAACAACAGGAGAACGGGAATGTTGAGGAATGAAACAGGTGAATACTAAATGTAGTTTGTATACCAAAAAGCAAAAACCCACCATGCTGGATGACTGAATAATCATCAGCCATGAGACATCACGCTTATTTTTTACTCTTTATGTACAGTCATACATTATCATTTGGGTTATCTTAATTTACATTTTCTTATTGATATTTTATCTCATGTCTTCATGTTTTTCCTCATGTTCACTAACATGCACTCTGTCAATAGGTCTATGAATTTACGAATTTATGAATTTCCGGTTTGACCTGGTTTCTTTAAAAGCCGGTTGCAGCATTACATGTCTAATTTTCTTTCTGTATCACTAAAGTGACACACACATCAAAGATGGAAGCATGATACAGAATATTTTGATCAAGCAAATGAGGGGAAATGGTTCATGTGACTTCCATTATGATTACAACTTCAGGAGAAAACAGCAGAAAACATCAAGTCATAAACTTACAAAATGGATTTGATCTAAAGAAGGCATGTGATTACTGAGCACGAAACAAGTATAAAACATGACTATAGCCCACCAAAATGGTTATGGGCCAAATTACAATCCCAGCTAGTAACATATACATTAGAATCAGACTACAGCCTTAAAAGTATAAAACAGAATAACAAACATAATCAAATCTTCCCAGCTCTTTTAAAAGTGAATTCTTGGGCCACAATCTATTATAAGCAGTAGACAGCAGCCAGAGAGCATCGCAAACATCTCAAATCTCAAAGATTTCATGGGGGTTTAAGTTAAATCTACAAATGATTTCTTTATACTGAGTCTCAGACAGTCCAAATTTTTATTTTACTGTCAGTGCAGAGGTAAGGCTGGTATAAATATACATAATATGACATTTTACACAACAAACAGTCTGGAAATTTGGATTGGGTGAATACATTTGCTCCTTTGTTTGTTTGTTTACTGGTTTGTCTGAAATGCACAACTGTTGGAGAATGATTGGCCAGAGACTGAAGCTAAATTCAACGCGGATTCTTGTGGCGTCCCTCTTGATCTCCCATAATCTTTATAAAAAGCTTGTGCACAGCCTCTGCTCAGATGGATGAACAGAGCTCAGCAGAAACATTAATGATGCAGCGGTCATGAGTGGTTTGGTAAACTGGGACTCCTATTAGCTAGAGTATTTTTGTCTATGTTTCTGTTGAATGTCTTACAGTTTTGTTCGGACTATTGATCAGTTCAAAGACTGGTCAGTAAAGGAATTTACATCTGCTCTTAAAAGAAGTGTGAGGGTTCTTGACATTTCAAATGTTTATATGTATTGGAGATCATATCTAATCACTTATATATATATGGCATCAAATAACTCAGTAACTGGTGTTGGATTTTCTGCAAGGAAGATAAACGAACAAGTGCTTTTTGTTCAGGTTTTGGTCTTTTCTTTTCTTTGCATTAACTTCTTTTTTATCACAACGTTTTTCATGAGGGATTGTTTCTACACTGTCATGCG